GCACAGGCATCCCCTTTCTTGCCAAAGGATGAAAAGAAGAAAGGACTTGTCCTGTGGAAAGAAATAGACCTCTACTCAGCTTCCTGAAAAATATTCTCCAGTGAGAAATGGAAACATTAAAGCACGCAAATTATTCCTTGAAGAAAACAGTCTATTTGGAAAGAAAAAAAAAAAAAAGAGAGAGAACAACAAACCCACTTTTCAAAGATTTTTATAGTTATAGATATTTTGGCCTTGTTTTTCTAGCTCATTTTTCTGTGAACTTAAATGAATCAATTCCATCTTATCCTAACTGATATTATTTATGTTTCTATCTGGCCAAGGTAGATGGAAGCCCATCATTTTAGGCGCTGTCTGGATAATAGCAAAACTCTAAGTTTAGCACTTGCCAGCAACATGCCTAGAAATAATCCCTAAAAATCATGAAACAGAAGAATATACTCACTTCTTCCAGTACACAGAAGTTGTCTGCTTTTGGATACTTATCAAAATAGCTGTTCTGGAATAATTACTTTGGTAGGAACATTTGTGTTCCAAAATAAGAGTCTCAGTTTGCCATTTACCTTAACACAGCTTGGAAGCTCATTTCCACATATCTCGCGTTAGGCAACTTCTCACCAAGATGGCTACACCAGGCCATGCGTAATAACACTTCCTTCTCACGCTGGATCGTACGCCCCAGGATTTCCAGGTCTTTGACAGTTCACAGCACATTAAGCGAGGTGATTAAGTGCTATTTAATCTCTTTGGTACAGATGGGTAAAACAAGGCAGTAATTGGTGAAGCAACTCAAGGTCTTGCTACAAACTGGGAAAGGACCCAAAACCATCCGATTTGCTTTGTTTTCACCACCCAGCACAGCCCGGTCCATCACGTATCCACCAGGGCAGTGGGGAGCTGTGATTCCCCCGCTCCTCCCCAGCACCTCTGTGCTTTGGTGGGGCAATCGCATGCAAATGCACACCCGTAAACACATGGAGAAGGTTGCTTGATCCGCCTGGCTTGCCTGGCCTAATTGAAAGCGTAGAGGTCTGTTGTGGTGCCTGTTGCTATAAACACACGGGCAATTTGCACAAGTATGTGACATTGTAAAAGTTCCTGAAAGATTTTATCTCGTTGATCTTGGCTGGAAGCCCTTTATTCACAGAGAAATGCCAGGTAGAAAGACAATAAGCATGTATCCATGTGTATATTTTCAACTTCCTAAAGGCCATCAAATTGGAAAGGGAGTTAGTTTACTTTACGCAAACATCTTCTGACTTGAAGACAAGGTAACCCAGGAAAAGCCTTTCCTTTAAAAAAAAATATTGTGCTTGTTGGTGTGACTCTGTGCAGATTGTCTGGCAGATCTTTAACAATCTCTTGTACCTCTGAGTTATTTTGATTTTAAAATATTAGCTCATAACCAATCTTAAGCTGTCAAAACTAAAGGATTGTACAAAATAGCTTCAAGGTTACATAAACAGAGTAGCTGGGAAGTGATTCGGCAATGCGCATTCATCTCAAGAGCACAAGGCATTTATTTTTTAAAGAAATTTTCCACCCGAACACTGGACCTCTTTATTTTGGGAAGCATGGGTTTGATGGGATTGGAATACTCTGTGTAAGGAGAAGGAAGGTCAGATGGCAGAAGACAAACTGGGCAGAGGAAGGCAAAAAAAAGGAGCTGGGGCAGCAAATGCCAAGCACACGTTCAGTGAGTTTTGTGATGAGAAACAACTGGGGATGGGTGGGAGCTGAGAGAGGCAAGTGGTATAAATTATGGTGTGCTTATACTAATGGGGTAAATAATTGGGGGGTTGGGGTGGGGGAGAGGAGCACAAGCATGAGCCTTCAAGCAGGCAAAGGCTGGAGGTAAATAGGAACTGCTAGAAAGTTCACCTGGTGTAGGGCATCGGGGGAGAGGTGGAGCTAATGGCAGATGGGGTAGGAGATGGTGGAGGGTGGACAGGAGAGAGGGGCTGGTGTTTGGGGTGGGAGTGAGCTCAGTGGCGGAAGAATAGGACTGGAGTGGAGGAGCAGAGATGGGGAGAGAGCAACTGGGAATGCACAGAGCTTGTTGTGGGACAGGGAAAGGCGAGGGGCCAGGAGCATGTTGTGGTGACAGGGCAAAAGCGTTAAGGGCACACATGGTAAAATCCTCCAGCCCTGAGGGCTCATTGCAGTAGTCCTCCTCCCTCCTGGAGCAGGAGATCTTATTGCACAGGGATGTGGGCAAGGGTGAGCTGCCCCTTAGCCCCAGCACACTGTTATCCCACAAAAATCAGCAGGACTTGGGGTAACAAGCAGTATTGCTTGTCACAGTGCCCTCCTGAGCCAAGGCTTCAGCTGTTTCCTCTCCTTCCTTCTCCTCATTATTTTTGCTGCATTTTTTGTCAGCCACAAGGCTCTCCGAGCCACTGACTCCATTCATTTAATATTAGTGCAGCTTCCTAGATGCTTATAAGAGATATGTGTTTATATTGACCCTAATTCAGCAAAACACTAAGCATGTGCCTAACTTTCAGCAACTGAACGGGCCAGCAGGACTATTGTGTGATTAAAGCCAAACATAACTTGGTGTCTATTCTGTAGAGGGCCTACTCAGCTAATTAGTTAAATCTTCTACAAAAATTCACTCGGACTCTTAATAAAGCAATGGTCTGCAAACAGCTGTTGTGTGACTCTGCCCAGGTCACATTATCTTGTTTGCAGTTTAGATGCCTGAAATATCTGACAACTTCTTCCTTGTCTGGAGTTTAATTGTTCACGAGAAACTCTCACTCCTTCCCCAGCAAGACATACTAAAGCCACCAAACATTAATTGATTTAAATACGCATGGTACCTACCAGGTAGATGTGGTAAATCACAATTGTCAGGTAATTAAATGCTACCCGTAAATCACGTTGGAGAATGTGAACCAAGCATTCAGTGTCAATGCTTTTAATTAATGCTGTAAAACAATATTTCAGGCTTAGATCTAGTTGTACAAGGCAGATAACGTATCAAATGATGGCTAATAAAATCTCAGCCGTGGATATGGCACTAATGACCAGTAGCTGCTGTGATCTGGATACCCCGGTGGCACCCCAACAGGTGGCCCGCTGCGAGCGGCGGCATGCAATGTTATTGCAGGGGGATTATGAGTGGTCATTATACTCTCATTGCTCGTGTAATGCTGGATTAATTAACCAGCAAGCAGAATTATCTCCCCCCAGATTCATCACCTGTTAAAATGTAGCAGCAGGTCATGGAGGATTAGGCTTGGGGGCCTGATTCTGCCCGTCCTTTTGGCTCCGGTGCCCGTGTTGGTTGGTTTGCAGCCCTGGAAGCAGCCGTGTGTTAGGGAAGTGTTTTACAAGATGTAGAGAAAGGGTCAGATCTTAAAACAATGCTATGGAGCATGACACAATGTTCACAAAGGAGTTCTGGTGCTTTCGCAAATCTCTTTACCTGTTTACTTTCCTGAAGGTCTCAGAAGGGAAGATGCTGATGGCTCTGAGCACCATTTCTGTTGCAGGAAGAGGAGGCAGCCAAGCTGTTTTGTGCCTGGTGGTGGTGATGCTCGAGGGCTGGGCGTCAGGCAGGCTCCCCAAGCACTGTGGGGAAGGACTGGTGCCCGTGTGTCAAGGGCAAGAGCCCAGAGCTCCCTCGCTGAGTGACACGTCCCAAGTCCTGCACGCCCTTGGCAGGGTTCTGCCCAGCTCACAGCAAATCCCACTCTGTGCAGAGAGATTTGGGGATGGATCAGTGAGTGGAAAACCTTTGCTTACCATCTGGGGAATGGCCCACAGCTGTCCAGGAGCAGGGCTCTGCTCTGGACTTCACATGTGATACAGGGAGGTGAAACCTGCAGGGTAATTGAAATTTGTTGCATTTGAGAAGTAATTTGAGCAATTTATTGAAAAAAAAAAGAAGTGTCCTGTTCAAAAAAAGTAATGCTTGTGCATCCATGTTAACAGCCCTTTTTGTTTTTCAACAACAAAAAAATCATTTTTAAAACAAAAATCAATGCTGAAGTGAATGTTTTGTGGATAAAACCATTAACCATAATTTTTTAAGCTAATGAAACACCAAATTTGGAGAAAGGGTCAACCCAGATCACTTCAAAATGCTCACATTTCATAGGAAAGGAAAAAAAACTTCAACTCTAAACCAGTTCTTTGCTTTCTTCTGTTACCTCCATACTCTCCCATGCTTTACAAACTGCCCTCATCCCACAGAGCATTTCAATTCCATTAGCACAGTGTTTCCCAAAATAAAGTATTTCAGCATTTCTAGGGGCTGCTAACCTGGTCTTCTACTTAAATTTATATCTAATCAGTGGTCTTGTTCCTTCTTTTCTCTCAGATACTTAGTTATTAAACATACTGAAATATTCTTTATAACCCACTTACGTGCAAATTATCTGTAATTTATGAAGGATTAAGGCTTACCTAAAACACGCTGCTCCAGTCCCTTATCCATTATGACCCGTATCCATTTTGAATTTGTCCTAAAAGTGCTTTTGGCTCGCATAGCTCCCAGTGGGAGGAAGTTTAAGTTCAGACCCAATTTATCGCGTCCTAAATGCATGGTTGGAAGGAGCCAACATCATCACTCAAGATTTCTTGCAGATCCTGGCAACTTCGCAGTGCTCCAAGACCATTGTTTAAAAAAAACCACTTGTGCAAGTGAAATCCTGTCTCTATGATTTTCACAGCCAAATTTTAGTTGGTGGTTTGGGAGTGGGCTTTGAATGTGGTGTAGGTCAGGTTGGGTCAGGAGTGGGGGATGTTTCATGGCACCAAAATGAGGGCGAGTGGCATGGAGGTGCCATGGAGCTGAATTTCAGCACCTTGCCTGAAGACAGAGATGTGTCTAACCCATTCCCGGGAGCAGAGACAAACTCCTTGCCTTCCCAAAGTGGGGACACACAGAGAAACTGCCCCGTTAGTCCCATTCCCAAGGCGCAGGCTGAGCCAACATGGTTCTGGGCTCTTCTAACTCTGAAGCTCTCCTCTTTCCTCCATCCTTGCAGGGATTTGGCCACTTGTCCCCCCTCCACAGATCCCTGCTGCTGGGCATGGCGATAAAACACGCAGCAGATGACAAGGCATGGGAACCAGCGAGCATCGCCTGGCAAGGTGGGTAATTTATGGTCGTCTTTGGAAATCACAGAGCCAGGCTGTGTGTAAGCGGCGGCACAGGTGGAAGCGGCTGTGCTGGGAGGGGATGAGTAAATCATTTTTTATCAAAAGGGCTATTTTGTCAGCAGGTCTATTGCGGTCTAACCTCAGCAGAGTTTGTTTAGACATTGGGCTCGGAGTGGGCTGGATGAGCAAGGGTATCACTGCGTTTCCTCTTCTGCCTGTTTAATGGTGGTGTTGGGACGTTTGTTTTCACCCTCCTTCAGAGCTGCTCCACCGGTCCTCCTGCCTCAGGGGCAAATGGGAACAAATGTGCTTTGTGTGGTTTCTAGATGACTGTCAAAATGCCATGGGATAAATATGAGTTGGCTGGAAGGGAAAAGGGCTCCAGGAAAAAAAAAAAAAAAAAAAGGCAAAAAAAAAAAAAATAGCAGATAACTATTTTTTCCCTGATCCGTGATGCCTTTGTTTTGTTTCTTGATGTGTTGGTTGGTACATTGCCTGGTGCTTGCTTACTGCTTGTCTTGCCAAGAGGACATGAACTGTTTTCCTTTTCCCTTGATTTTGTTTTTATTTGCTTATTCGTTTAGTATCCCTGGGTGAGGAAAAGGTGAAACAGTCCTCTGGCTTTTGAGATGGCTCAGACAAGGCTGGCCAAGAGCATCTTACATTTGAATGGAGCTTTTTTTCTCAGCTTCACTGCCGACCTTGATTTGTGATGCTGGAGTTGGATGCCATAATTAGGATGGGTCGACTAGGACTCAGTAGGTGCACAGAATATAAGGTTTGGGAGAAATAAGTCTTGGGTTCTTTCTTGCATTCCTGCTGATCCACATGCTGTTCCAGATACATTTGCTAACTTTTTTTCTAATTGCCACAAAAAGCTGGAAAATAATTGTGTGCAATAGCTGCCATTTTCCTTTCATCTCTCTGCTCCCAGCCTCTCTCCTTCTTGCACATGTGAAGGCTGTGTGTTCTGCATGTGTGTTCAGCTCTCTGAAGGGAGGATTGTTTGTTTGGGTTTGGGTTTTTCAGTGCTTGGCAGAACCAGAGCTCTGGGTTCCCCAATAAACATAACAAATAGGAGTACTGCTGATGCTCTGTCACTCCGGGAAGTGGGGCATGAGGAAAACCTCTTCCTGCGGTGAGCTGAGCAATTTTAGCATGAGCACTGGCAGCAGCACTGCCAAGCAATGCAGGTAATTTTGTGGCTGCAATGTGACGGTGGGACCTCTCTTCTCATTTGTATTCTCCTCCATTTCCCTGCTCTTTTCCCTTTCTTTTTTCTTGTTTGCTCCAAATCCCCTGCCAGCAGAGCAGCAAAATAAAATGAACACAACCTCAGTGGCTTTACCCTTACCTTAGCAAAGCCAACCCCTGCAACCTGCTCAAAGGCAGCCGGAGCAGGGAGGAGATGGGGTGCTGCATGTCACCCCCTAACAGCTCCCAGCCCCTGAAATGCTCAGCAGCAGGCTGGCAATAATCTCCCATACAAGCCAGCAGGATGCTTTCAGTATTTTAACACAGCCTGCTGTTCTGGAGCTCAGGCAACAACTTGGGGCTGCTGGAGGTGGCAGTCCCACGTCCCCCAGGTCAGGCACGACCCATCCCCTGCGCCTGTGTCACATCTGGTCCGCACTGCAGGGCTTACTCCGCTATAGGGCTGGATAAAATAGCTCACAGAGCTTAATTGTTCTTCCACAGAGCTAAGCATTTACACCCCAGGGCTTAATTGTTCCTTTGCGCTGATTGCCCAGTTGCACTCCAGGGCTTCCTGTGGATTTTGTGGGCACCATTTGTGGAAACAGAGGCACGGGGACAAACGGGGCAGGAGCGAGGGATGAGCTGGCTCTGGCTCCCCCTCTCCTTTCCCATTTCCCGAGCCCTTCTCTCTCCAGGCACGCGTGTTGAGACAACTCACAGCGAGCTAGGTGAGAAGCTGGCAGAGCAGCAGCTTAAATCTCAATTACCTTCCTCCTCGTTCATTTGCACAGGATCCTTATCTCTCCCCATGTAACTCTCTGTATTTAATTATATGCAATGATAATGCTTCACACACTAAGTGCATTATTAAGCAATTCTTAAGATAAGTAGTTTTCTGGATCCCCAATTATGATTAGATATTGGCAATCAAGCTGTCTTCCAGTCTCACTCCTGAGCTGCCCTGCCAAAAACAGTCATGTTTGGTAGGTGAGACACGAGACCCGTGTGGGAAGCTGCCTTGTGAGGAGAAATTGAGGCAAAAAGTGTTCATAGGTACAAGACAGATGTGGCCACTCACATCCCTGTTTCAGACAATGACCTGGGGGTGGCCTTGCTGTCCCAGCAGACTGGCTGGATGCAGAGATGCAGGGTGTGTGTCCTCCACCAGGACTATGCAGCCTTGGCCATGACTTGAGTTGTGGAAGCTGTGAAGCTGCCACAGCTCTCAGGTTTTGAGGCTCCCTCTTCAGTCTTCACTGTGACAACCAGGATGGCAGCAGTCTCCTTTACAGCCATCCCTCAGGACTTCAAGGTCTGAATCTAGAAATGAGTGGAAGTGAGTTTCTTCCATTTCTTCCCATAGTTTGTGTTCCTTGATCCTCTAGCCATCTCCACTGAGTTCATCTGCTCTCTCCCTTTAAGCCTGTGCACCTCTGAAAACCATACCTGAGTTGGGAAGATGAACTTGGTGCTTTCCAACTTGATAAAGGCTCCCCCCCACCTTTCATTTCATCTCGGTTTATCCTTCCTAGTTATCCCTCCCAAATACTGGCTTGCTTTGCAGAGCAGGGATGGGTCAACAGAGTGATCCGGTGCATGGGGTGAGTGCTTCTGGACCCCGATACCCAGCAAGGGGATGCAGGCGGGCTCTAAGGATGGTGGCACCTCTTGCAGTGTTCTTCCTCTTTTGCCCACATGCAGTACAGCATTTCTGGTGCTGTCTGGGGCTGTTTCCTTGAGGTCTCCTTGTCCGAGCAGTGCCCACCCCTGCCCACGTGAGACCCATCGTGCTGGCAGCCAGTGTATCATTGCTGCACTACAAAGGGCAAGGGATTATGGGGATTCCTCTTAATTCTGTACAGGAAAATGCTGTTTGTAAGTGTAATTGAGAGGATGGCTTTGGAGTCAATGACTATGAGCTTATGTTGTAGATGGATCGTGTTTCACCTCTTTCAAAGCATTTAAGAGCTTACCAGAAAAACAAATGTCATTGCTCAATCTGTGAAGTGTCTATATGCAACTTGCTGTCTCAGTTCCTTCCCTTCAAGATAAATTGGAAACAGATTTATTTCATGTCTCATACTCTCTGAAGGTTACAGTTGCCCCCTCCTTCAGTGTTGATGCATACGTGTGTATTTATGTATGTGTGTAAAGCGATAGCCTATGACTTGACTGTGTAATTGCTAAGGGTGCTTTCATCCACTCTCCAAGTATTCCTGGTGAAAGAAATATTTAATCGTAGTTGTTCACAGGAAATCTTTAATCTTAGCTTTGCAATATATATGCTTCTATTAATTGCAGAAGGACAGATTCTCTGGCTGCATAAAGGAGTAGGTGCTCAGTGCAGTCAGCCAGGCTGATTTACCCTGTCCAGAGAACATATTTTTTTCCCTGCCCAAGTATTTGGTTATTATTAGCTGAATCTTGACTCTTAACCCTTTGACTTTAAAATGCAAATGTATGGGAACAGCTTGGATAGCCCCCAAGAACTTTTCCACCCTGTATTTGAGAATTGTTGGACCTCAAGCCTGGTTCTGGGGCTGTCAAAACTATAGAGATCTATGTAAAAGACTTTAAATGTTTGCAGCTTGTAGGCATTAATCAGGAATTGGGGGATAGAAGGGCTGCAGGTCTCCAGCCAGGGCGAGCATCGCACTCCCAGTGCCATTTGCATGTTGCCTGCAGCAGCAGCACCCACCCTGTCCAGTGCCCCAGCAGGGCTCAGCCATCACCGCCCACAGAGAAAGAGCCAGGAGCCCTTGCTGGCAACCAAATCATTGGGTAAAGCACCCCGCTTCCCTTCAGGAGGAGTAAGGATTGAGAAACAGCACAGAGGGTAAGCAGATAGCGAGCAAAGAGCTTCGCTAATGTTCTCCAGTGTGCCAACAATAATATATTTTCTGCAGTAATACTTTGCATTTTGCTAGCACATTTCTTCATGCCTCTCATGGTGTTCTGTGAGCAGTAATTAATTACAGTCTCATTACATCTCTGTTAGATCCATTTATTTATTTATGAAGAACTTTCCATCCCCAAGCACTCTGGAATCTGTTAATCACCGAAAGGCAAACAGCGTTCCCCTGCGCCCAGAGCCACGAGATCTGCTGCGAAAACGCAGCCGCTGCTGGGCTGGGGATAAACACAAAGAGGGCTCTTGTGAGCACAGCTCCAGGCTGTGATTTCAGTCAGGGTTTGATTCTTGCCTCTACTCCACATTTCTGCAAACCAGGTCTCTCTAAACTGTCCATGGCAGAATCAAGCTTGTTTTTTTTGGGCTAGTGAAGAGGAAGAGATGTTCTGTCTGAAACGCTGCGCGCTGCACTGGGATTGATATTAATTTGCTTCAGAGCAAATTAAAACAGATTAATTAAAACCACAGCTATGGTTTATGAGGAGGGGGACATTTCTTACTCTGTGCTTGCAGAGCTTGGGCAATTGGTTTTGTGTGGCATTGCCCTGCTGCAGCTTGTAGCTCCCACCTACCCGCTTTTACCGAGGGAGGTGAGGAATGCTAGGAGGAGAAGTTTTGGCTGACAGCAAGCAACGAGCCAAACAAAAATAAGAGCAGGATTTCTGGTTTGACTTTATACCACCTCCTTGCCATGAGATTTTAACAGGCATTTCAGTAGATAGGAGCAAGGCTTGGCAGACTGCATGGTGGATGGCATCTCCAGCTGTGAAATGCCCTATCAGTGTGGGCATCGCTCCTGGCTTTGGGAACACGTTTAGTTCTCTTTGCTTACCCAGAGCTACCAGGCTTTCCCAGGAGATACCTGACCTCCCTGGTGGTATTC